TGGTGCTTCTTTTGGAGTCTTGTTTTAGAGTCCTACCACTGTCTATGTAGGTAGCTTTTTTTTTTTTTTTCTCCCTGAAAAAACCCTGTTTTCCCATGAGCATAATGGCTTTTTAATTGGGGTGAAGCTGGTGCTGGATTTGAGCTGAGTTAAAGACTGGATTATGTCCCTGGAAAAGCATTTTCTGGTGACTCTTCTCTTTCCCTTCAGAATTTAGTCTAGATGACTGGCGTTCTTGCTGGAGAGCACCAGCAACTGCAGGCTTGCTCCTGACTGAAAACTCACAGGTATTATGGGCTGGAGAGTGGCCTGATGGGGATGGTTACAGCGGTCTCTGCAGAAAGAGGCTGCTGTACCGTGCTGCCAGCAGCATCCAGCAGTCTCCAGTCATCTTTCAGCCCTTCCGATTCCAGATCTGCTGAGGTCTGGCTGACCCTTGCTCAGCAGCCACCCCAGGTGAGGTGTGGTTTGACTGAAGCCAGGGCAATTCATGACAATTCAACTCTTCTGCAAAACCAGTCCCTTGGATCCCTTTTTTGTGGATCCGGTGTGTTCCTTCGCATGCAGCAAGCAGGGCTACACAGGCAATGGGGAGCTGCCTGGTGAGTTGTGGTTTAACTTCTCTTCACTAACTCCAGGGACCTGAATTGAGCAGGGATGTGATAAAACCTGTGATTTCTTTGGAAATCTGTCGAGGGGATGACACTAACTGCTAGTGTTTTGTCTAACACAGTACAGACAATACTTCTCTCAGTACAGTTTGGTGCTAGTTGCCAGTATGTCGCTTTATTTCTTAGTTTTCAAACAAAGAAGGAGGCCGCTTCTGACGGATGCGTGCAAGAGGTGTTGGCAAAAGAGATGGGACTGGCAAACCTTCATTTTCAACAAGACACCCAACAGCTAAAAATCTACTTGATTACCATGTGTTTCATTGAGCTACTTTGTATATTGTGACTTGTTTTTGTCTTTTCAACTGTGCATATTTGAATAGGGACAGTGGAAATGATGGATCATTATTATACTATAAATAAAACATTATCCAGGTTACGCTAGTCAGCAGAGCATAAAACAAATAGCAAATTCTCATGTCCTTGAATTAACAGAAAGCAGCACAGGATGCTGATGTGCACTGAACACCTTTGCCTAGCTGCTATGAGAGTTTTTCCAGTGGTATCGGGATTATTCAGGGGTTTGGTCTTTTAGCACTGCCTCGTAAATCCTCCCTAAAAAGAAAATGTAGCGACCCTGGGGAGCTCACAGCAAACAATGCTCGGCTTTTTGCCTTTTTCCTGCCTTGCTTACTGCCGTAGCAGCTGCTTGATGTAAGAGCCTGGGAATTGCCACAGGCAGCAAGGCCAGGGAAGTGCCCTGGCTCCCAGTGCAACATCGCAGCACTGCAATGATGGGAGAGGCCGAGGAGCTTGCAGCAGGGTCCAACCACAGGCAATGAGATGAAGAGGCTCCCGATCCAAGGCATGAAATTCTTGAGGGGAAAAGGGAAAGAACCCCCCCAAACTAAGTTAGTTCCCTGCTCCAGTTGAAATGACTAAAAAAGCTAGCACTCATGTGCATGTGGTTCCTACAGCACTGTGCTGCCTCAAGCATGAGTGCCGATGCTTATGTGAATTAGCTTTTTATTGGGACTTTTTATATTTATATCCATGGGATGGGAAAAGCAATAGGAAGTGTATTTAGTAAGGAGTTTAAATGCATATTGCATTTGCTATGCATGCATGCACAACTATACTGTTGAGATTTGGATTAAATTGAAGATGTATATTAAACTGAAACATGTATATTAAAAACTTTCAGATTAAGTTGCTGTGGTTATAAGTCATTATTGTCCACTTGGGACACTTCCAGAAAATGGTATTTAATCTTCCAGATTTTTACTTTAAAATCCTTTGAGTAAGAGTCGTGTGAGGAAGAATCCCTGAAACTTGTCTAAAATAAGTCACCTGTTCCACAGGAAAATGGTGGGGGGTTGTTTTGTTGATTGGTTTTGGTGGTTGTTTTTTTCTAATGGCCTATTCTGTGTGAAATTAATTCAAATTTAATTCTGTTTACATGGGCAGTGTAAAATTTGACCTTATGAAGTCTGTCCCTTCTATTCATTACATTGTATTCTGCTTACGTGCGAGTAACTTCTTTAATCTGATTTTGACTGCAGTCAAGATTGTGTTTTTTTTGCAGTGTTTTTCTTAAAATTGATCAGAAAAAAGCATTCCAGGTTGGGGGTTTCTTAAGCTTAAGGTATTGTGATAGGAAAAAAGTGTGGTGGTGAGGAGGAGAAGGAGCAAGCCTTGGTACCAAACCCCTCCTGCTGTAGCTGCGTAGCCCCTGCCTTGTGCCGGGGCTTGGAGCAAGGTGCAAGCTTCTCCCATTGCCTCTGCTCCAAGTGCTGGAAAACTGGTCAGATACTGCTGCCGAGGTTAAGCTCTCCCTGGGAAAACATTCGGACTATGCTAAAGCACCCACTAAGTCTCCAAAGGCAGCCCCTCCTTCCTGTGCGCCATTGCCTTTGCAGCCTCAGCAAACCTCAGCTTTTGCTGAACTGTTTCGGGTTTGCTGGGTGCGGAGGGACCCAAGCACATTTGGTGGTGGTGGCTCCTCTGTCAGGAGGTTTGGGAGCAGGAAACTCCTTGGTGGGACTTAGGTGCAAACGATGACAGCTCTTCCCAGTGCTCTGCTGGAAGATGGGTCCAGGTTCACCATCTCCTGCTGTAGAGGGCTCTGTTTCTCTGCTGCCGCCCATACCCAACACTGCTCCAGTGGTTTGGCACCAGCCTGAGCCTCACTTGAAGAGCCTGAGAATTGTTTTAAGTCAAAAGCTGCCAGGTGGATGCATGTTGTTTTCCTGTTCAAGAAGCTCAGTGTTAAACCTGTTAAAATACTTGGCCCTTGATCACTAGAAGCCTTTCCATGTGGATCCCCAGATAGCCCAGGCTCTCTGGGTGTTTACAGAGTGGTGTTTGCTCAAGGCCCTGGTTTGTCTTCCTGAGGTCTGGAAAGCTCAACCTGGGATGTGGCTGGGCTTCAGTGAGGGGATGTCTGTGCCGGAGGATGATAACTTGGAGCAAGGGCTGAATCAGCAGCGTGCTGCTGCCTCTCCCAGCGTTTCCTAATTTAGACTAACCCCTTCACTTGTAATGCACCCTGCACAATTACTAAACAGTTTGTGACTTTGTCAAAACATGTACTTAATTTGTCAAATATGAAATGCTATTGAACCTACTCTGCCTAGGCTTGTAGCACAGTGCACTTAGCGCATACTTAATCTCCTAGAAAAACAAATGGGGAAAAATGTTACAGTGCCTTAGTTTTACTTTGTCTTTAATACATATATACATGTGTGCATATGTATATGCACACAGCATTTAAGAAAAAACATTAAAAATCAAGTATGCCACGAGCAAGTGCCAGATTTAGCAAACTCTCTTTATTTACATACAAATACATGTACACATGTATTCTGTATATGTACACATATTTAAGAGTATATACATACATAATTTCCACATTCTCTACAATAAACAGCATGTAGGGTTTTCTTTTAATTGCCTACAGTTCTGAGTAAAAACAGATGGCAATAAAACCATGGCTTACAGCTAAATTACAAAAGCACCAACCACTGAACTCATTGCAATAAATCCGAGCTTATATACAGCCAGGACGAGGGCACACTATACAGAATACAAAGTAGACTATCTTGTAGGAATTGATAGTAACAGACAAACTAAAAACCAGCATTTAGACCAAGACAGACTCTGTATGAAATAAGATGACGGAAAACATTTAGATTATTGATCAAACTAAACCACACATTTAGATTTGTCACCTAAAGAGAAAAACAGATTAGCCAGTTACTCATCTATTTTTAATAGTAATTAATTAATTAATTATTTCTTTTGTATGAGTCTTTACCAAGGAAATCAGAGTTAATATCACAAGTGAGTCCTCCCATGCTGTCACAGGCATTTCTGGGTGTGCACCACTTAAATGGAGTATTTTAATAATCCTTCAGCTGTATGTAATACTGAATATTTTTATACTGATAGTAATTGTCTGATATGTGCTTTAGGAGGTGAAGGTGCACAGACTGTTGTTTTTTCTGTTTACTTGTCGTTGCTTATATTTTGATTTAATTGCAATGCAACGCTAAGGAAGACAACTGGATGCCATTAAGCAGAAAGCTTGTCGCTGTTTGGATATTGCCCTTACGCTGTGATGTATTATCCTTGCTGCAACGCAGTGCTAAGAGGGCTAGACAGCAAAATAATTGCTTCCTGTACATGGAAACCAGTCCCTGCCATAATTTTCAGACTTAAACAGAGATTCTCTTTTTCCAAGGTAAGTGTATTCTCTATTACTGCAACACTTGTACTGGTGTAAATGTAAACAGTGGAGAAGAATCGAAATCGAAACGAAATTGTGGAGAAGATTTCGAAACGAATCGAAACAGTGGAGAAGAATCACCAGAGGTGATGCACACCAAACCTGCACACCTGGTGGGTCTGATAAACTAAAGCTCATCAATGTCTAACTACATCATTGCACATCCACAGGTAAGAAGGCTGAAGGAAGAACTACCCACTCTTCAATTAATACGTACAACTACTGCAACTCATAAAAATGCAGATTCCTTTCCTTTTTTTGTCCCAGAAATAGCACTTTCTCCTAGTATTTGGACTTGATTCCTTGAGCCCTGTGTAACATTCTTTATTAACTTAGTGGGAGATCTGTTTATTTGGATTTTGTATATAAGCATGTGAGAGTCTGCTTCATCATTTCTTCTTTATGTCATCATCTGATGTCCCCAGTGAGAAACAGGATCCAATACAAGTAAAAGACATCTCTGCCATCAAGTCTAGTTTACAAAACTGGTTTTCAAGATCAATGTTCATGACAGACAGAATTCTGTTTGAATTTTGTCGTGGGTCTGCCTGGTAGTTCCCTTATTAATGAGGAGAGCCAAAATGCAAGAGTCTCAAAGGAAAATGACTACTGATCTACGATACAGCACAAACACCACTACAGTTTTTAAGGATTTTTTAACCTGTTAGGAAAGCATGTTCTTGTCCAAAAGGTTAATGGAAATGCGTATTTTTGAGTGATGCTGTATCTCTAGTTACCCACAACCGCATCAGCCAGAAGACAAGTACGGAGTCTCACTATGGTAATTATAATCAGGACAGACCTTTTGCACCAGTTTGTAATCTACGCTGTAGAAAGCAATGTAGATGCAGATAACTTTAAAGGGTTTGGAACACAACCAGGAGACATGGCTTTGAGTCTGCTCTTGGTAGCAGATCTTTGAAGGATCAAAATTGCACAAGGCAGTTTTTTTAGCGCGGTCTGTTTTTTCATACTCGATTCGGCAGTTGAAGGACTTGGATTCCTTGGTCTCCAGTGTTGACTGTGGAGATGATTCAAACTCAACCACCTTGGAAGGTGGCACGAGGCTTACAGAAACATTTCCTAAACCTGTGGAGTTATGTCGGAAATAAACACTGAAGGTCCCATTGCCATGATCGACAATCTTCCCTGTGATGAGGAGGTTCAGCTTAACAGTTTTGATGTTAGAGTGGAAGTCGCCCCATCCGAACATTTTCTTGAATTTCCCAGTTTTTACTATAGGTCTGCGTTTAGTTCGTGTGAGGGATTCCTGAACCTCTGTGATATTGGACAACCAATCCCAGAAGTTTTCTATACTGTCCGAGTAGGACACCTGGCCATGTTTCAGTACTGGAGATGGCTTAACAAACAGGCGTAAAGGATTGATGATCCTGGAATGGACCACGTTGTCAACGAGTGTCTCTGCAGCATCCTTGTCTTCCCAGTCCAGCACATCTGTGGCTTGTACGACTCGATTAGTGTCACAAAATACCTGTTTCAAAGCAGAAAGAAAGAGTTGTATAAAACTATCAAGATACTAGAGGAGCCATTAATACTTATTTTTACACCAGCAGCATCTGAACTAGTCCAGCACCATCTTCTGCCCCATGAAAGCTCAAGAACTTTACTCAAAATAGCTGACAGAAGATGCAAAAAGCTCAGCAGGAGCTGTCCACTGGCACAAATGGATAAATCTCTGGACAGGTTGCAGGCTGTGATGTGCAGGAGCAGACATCCTCTGTTTGCACATTTGTTAAATAGAAAGATGCTCACAGAAGCAGGAAAATCTGAAAGCAAAGTGGCACCTCTGCTGAGAGATGGGAGTGAAACAGATCCAGCAGCATTTCCCATTCCCCTTTTCTTTTTCTCTTCTCTTAACCTGTCAACTGGTTTAAGTTTAAAATCCTGCCTTGCTCAGTTGCTTCTGGTGTTGCATTTGTGTACTAAACTTTTTATAGTACTTTTGTCTTTCCTGGTGTTGCCTCTTCCATTTTTCCCAACTTAACATGCCCATTTGTACTTTAATTTGAGACTGACATCAAAGGTAATCATATTTTTGGTGTCTTGGCTTCAGTTGCTAAGCTGCCTGCATTTAGCCAGGCCCAGCCTTCAAGAAGCTCTGAGCAATCCCAGCCATATCACATATCTCACTATTCAGAAATGTGACGAGACCAAGCTAAGTCTGATACAAAATTGTCTGTAATCGGAAAGCAAGTAATTACTTCTGGTAGCAATAGAACAGCGTCAGATTTCAGAGTGAAACATTGAAACTAAACAGCAGACTTCCAATTTAAGGTAGAGAGACACTGCTTGTGTATGTTCTTCCTGCATGCTGGGGGAGTCCTGTTGAAAATGCAGAATGCTCAGGAGGTCAGAAGCAGAATCCATATTTCAGTAGGCTAGAAATGACCATATAACTTTTCCTGTTTAATTCCTTTAAGGGTTGACTGTAAGTTTCGGATAATGGCTTTTCAGGATTTGCACTCTTCAGGACTGCCTTACGCTATCATCCTAATGTATAGAGAAAAACTTTTTCAGCTGCAATTATTCTTACAAAATGTGTGAAGAGAATAAAAAGGCACTTAAAATGGAAAGAATGCACTGCTCTCATCCTCAGTGAGAAATTGCTGCTGCCTCTTCCTCCTGGCCAAATGCTGCTCTCACTTCATCATCCATCTTGCAGTGCCAGGATCTGGATAGAGGGCTTCCAGTATCGCTGCCACACAGGATGAAGCTTTCACTATCCAGCAGGCAACCACAGCAGGATTACAGGGTTGAAGCTTGCCTAAAGCAATCAAAATGTTGAGTGCTGATGCTGGGTGGGATGTGCTACCTGTCTCACTGGGGAAACTGCAATGCTGGGCTTGCTTTTCCCTCCACTACTCATCCAAAGGGGTCTTTTATGCCTTTAGTTCCTAGCAGTATTCAGCTTCTAGAATATTCTGTTTCTATGATCTTTAATTTTTAGTTTCAACATCGGCAAAGATCAGAAGCTCTGAAGGGCTTATTCCTCACTGGGGCCTATTCTCTAGCAATAGGCTCTACTCCAGCGCCCAAACCCACTTGCCATGTTGTCCTTTTTCATCATCCCTAACCCAGTAATTAAGATTGGATGTTGAAAGGTGGCCATTGCAGCAATGTTCACAACTTGAATGCTGAGAAAGGTGGCCATCACCATTACTATTGCTAAATAAATCTACAGCTGGGTCGAAATGCAGGGGTCAGGAGTGTTTCTGCAGAAGTACAGTATTTTCTTCTTCAGATTAGGAAGGGGGGAAGAACAGACAACAGCGATCACTCTCAGCCTGAGACCCTGTATGTCAACTTTCTGCCTCTATGCTACATTTTTTATGGCTGAGCTATGAACCCAGGAAAATAGGAGATTCTAATGGAAACAGTGACAGATGCTTATCTGTACCAGCACAAATAGCGCTGTCATAACGATGCTGGGGGAAGCATCATTTCTGCTGTGATGGAAAGCTCCTGGTGAAGCAATGTCATGTTTATGCGTGGGTCTTCAGCCACTTTTAAGCCTGCTCCCAATCTCAGAATCAGTGGGGTGATGCTGAGAACAGCTGGCCATCACCACTGCCAGCAAAATAACTCCCCTGCCACAGAGAAGTGTCCCTGTTCAGATGAAACAAGAACTGATGCACATGTTTGCCCATCCTCCACCTCAAAACTGACCTGAGGCCTTTAGAAGCATGGAAGAGGCTTTGCTGCTGTGTTTCTAGATTGCAGCTGGGACCAGGGGCCTGGCAGTGCTGAAATACCAGAAACTTTTCCCTGTGTTTGCATGGCTAAAGCATCTGCTACTTAAAATGCTAATGACCACCCAAAACTGTGGGCACGGGTGGTTGGTGCTGCTGTTAGCAACTGAGTTGGAGGGAACTGCCATTGGAAATTTTAAGTAGGAATACCTAGAAAAGAAGCCACTTGGTTCACAGGAGCTTCTAACTTTGCTGGTGTCCACACCCAGTTCTGACTGCTCTCTGGCAAGGGCACAGGGACACGCACAGGTCCTTCTGCGCTACTTCTGCAATGTTTACTGAAATCCGTGCAATGGCTCTTTGGTATTTCTTCTCTCTCCTTTTACAAAGCGACCTAGAGGGCAAAGAGTCATGTGCTGCTGGTAATACTCAATGTATGTCTCTTCAGGGGGCCTTCAGTCCAAATGAGATAGCAGAGTATTGCTTTTTGAACTGCTTTTTTCAGAAGACTCTGATACAAAAAGAAGAAATATGTAGGTGTAAGGTTTGGGATGGCTGAAGGGTGGGAAATACTAATGTATGCTAAAACCAGGTGCGTTTGTCACATTGATAATGTGTTAGGGCACAATTATTTCAAAACCATGATGGTGGAATTGCAGAGTTGCATCACACTAAACTACTACTTTTAATTATTTATGTGTTACACTGAATGAGATGTAATCATAAGATAATGAAACAGAGCTACAGCAACGGGGACTATTTCATGTGGCAATGAAACAGCTTTCATAATATGGGAACATTAAATCATTAATATATTCAATTATTTGCCTTTAACACCTAGGCAGCAATCACTAACTACTGCTGAGAGATGTACCTGACACTTGACCTGAGCCATCCTTTCCTTCCTCCTCCTTGAAATAGTTTGTAGACTGCAGGATTCTCCAATCTCGCTCAGAATTAACTGTCTTCATCCAACTTCTTGTTTCACTGATTTCAGTATCGGCAGGAGCTTCAGAGGCTGACAGAGTTGTCAGCTCCATGGGCTGCAGGGAAGGGGACTGGGCAGGGTGGCACATTTGTTGTGTTTTGCAAATGTTCAGTACTAAGGTGTCTAACAAAGGCCCTCCTGGCTCTGCTCAGTGGCCAGCGCAGGAGCAGGAATGAGGGGGCATTGTTCAGAAATGTGAATAATACTTATGCTATTTTAATGTAAAATCTTTTTTGTGCATGTGCAGGAACTTGGGTTTTTCTCCTATTTTGAATAAAGCTTTCTGCACTATAAGAGAACCAAACTCTTAATGCTTAATTTTCCTCTATACATCACAAAGGCCCTTCCTTCGCTTGACAGCAGGTTTTTGCTGTTAGCAAGGATGGGCCGATGCTCTTTTGTTCAGCTGTTTATTCACACTGGTTAGCAATTTCTAGGCAATAAAAAAATCTGTATTGAAAGAATGCAGCACATGCTGGAAAAAATTACTTCCTCAGCATCTTCCCATTTCACTATAATGCTTCCCTATAGTGGAAAATACTGCTTGTAGGGTATCTGAAAAAATACTAGCTTAGGGAAGTTAGCATATACATTTAAATAGATGGCTATTGCTGCAGTTCTCTGCTGCACCTGCATTTCCCATTCCCTCCAAACCATCAATTTCCAAACAGAAGCAAACACCTAATCTTTTTCTGTATTACACAGGCTGTAAAATGTCACCTGGATACTCTAAAATTTCCATTAGACTGTAGATATCTTCCAGTAAGAAACATAATCTTGGACCAGCCAAGATGCACAGAATACACTGCATGGCTTAGTGTTTCTTTTTGCTATGTTAACCACAAGAGCAGCTCAAACCAAAGCATGATGTGCTTTATATTCATGGAGTTTTAAACTTCAAGTCACTTGTTTTTCCCTGTGCACTTCTCTGAAAGATGCTTTTCAAGAACTCTCTCTCCATGAATGATCCTGACCATGGCAGAGCAGCACAGGGTTAAATAACATTCCCTGTCAACTGTTTCTGAGAAATGAGCCCGTGTTGATGTGACACTGGAATCAGTAAATGCTGCAGTTTTTTCTACGTGCCCAGATAAATTTGGGGTTGTCTGGAACTTGCTGGGCAAAGCAGGTGTGCAGGAGTTCATCATTTTGATGCTTTGAGATTTTTACCTAGGTTATTCACCAATCACCACAATCATTCCTATAGCTTCACCCTGCCAGGAATCATTTAAAAACTCTTCGTAATTAGCTAAAATAAATAGGTCTGTTGGGATAAACAGCTCTGAAGCACCTCTTGGCCACTCTCTGGTGAGTGTTTTATCCCACTGACAGAGAGGAAAGGGTGGTAGGAAGGAGGTGGTACTCAGTAACTTCCTCCCACCCCCAGTTTCACCAGTGATAAACCCAAAATGAGGGAGGCTTCCAGCGATCCCCTCACTCAGCTACTTCCATCCCTTAGGCTGTAGCTCATGGTTTATACTCGTGTCACTGCTGCAGCAGCACAGGGCGCTTTGCAGGCTTCCTCGTGTCATCTCAGAATCTCCCTGGCCGCCATAATGCAGCATCACTGAGTGGCTGCACAAAACCTCAGTTTGAAGGGGGTGGGGAGGGAAGAGAAATAGTTCTGCTTTATCCGGTTGAAAATTCAACTATTTCAACACATTTATCATATTTGAAATAATTTATGTCTTGACAGGCCTTACCAGTTTTGCAAAGCACACACATTAACCAGATAGATAGATACAATGATCTCATATTAGCTTTTTCAGCATCTCACAGTGGAGCCCAGAAAGA